GCAGGAAAAGCCTCCACCTGCCGTGGTGTCGCGAGGAAGCATCACCTGGGCTTCAGTCTTCCTGGAAGTTTCTGAACAATTGTAATTGCTTCTTGCTTAAATGTTTGACAAACTTGCCAGTGAAACCACACGGTCCTGGAAGATTTTGTCGGAAAACGTTGGGCAAATTCTAATTTAACAGAGAGAGGGCTACTGAGTTCACTTATTTCTTCTGACTGTTAAGCTTTGATGCTGTATTTTTCTAAAAATATGTTCCTTTCATATAAATTTTCAAATTTATTAGCACAGACTTGCCCATAATATCCCCTTCTTATCTCCTCAATGCCTGCAAGGTTTTTAGTGATGATGCCCCATGCCAGATTTCTGAAATTGGTGATTTTTGTCTTCTACGTTCAGAAATTAGATGTAGAAAAGCAAATTAAATCCAAAATAATCAAAAGAAAGGGAAAACATAAAAAGCAGAAATCAATGAATGAAAAAAAGGAAAAACAAGAGATATAATAAAACCCAGGGGCGCCTGGGTGGCTCAGCTGGTTAAGCGACTGCCTTCGGCTCAGGTCATGATCCTGGAGTCCCGGGATCGAGTCCCGCATCGGGCTCCCTGCTCATTGGAGAGCCTGCTTCTGCCTCTCTCTCTGCCTGCCTCTCTGCCTACTTGTGCTTTCTCTCTGTGTGTCAAATAAATAAATAAAATCTTAAAAAAAAAAAAAAACCCAGAGCAGGTTCTCCAAGATCGATAAAATTGATAAGCCTCTAGCCACACTCCTGATTGGTTTTCTCCTCTGTAGGGTCCTATTTTCCTGCGTCCTTGCCCGCCTGGTAATCTCTGATCGGTGTAAACAGTGACCGTACCCTCCACCTTGCTGGGTGCCCACCCGGAAACTCTCTCCAGTGGTAGGTGGGGCGGCCGCAAGGCAGCTCTGACCCTCTCCGTGGTCACCGCCTGGCCCAGCCTGGGGTCTGATGTTTGAGAACCATAGCTTCACAGATGTTCCCTGGTTTTGATTTGTTTAAGGTGAGAGGGTAGGTCTGGTGCCCGTTCCTGCAGTTTACCTGGAAGAAGGCACTGCTCATCACATCACTTTTCCCACCATTGTCAGGAAAACTTGAAATGGCAAACAGCATGTCCAGTTGAGATCCCTGATTTGGTTCTCCCAACCTTACTTACCACTGAGCTGTTTCACAATTCTGTGAATTCCAGAAACTGACAGCAATGCAAATGATTCCTGAACGCAGGAACCAGTGTCTGGTGGGAAGAACTGATTACTGGCCCATTGTTTGTTTCTTAGGCAGTCACTCGGCTGCTGGGAGATTCTGGCTTTGCTCTGTGGAGTCTTGTTTGAAGCAGGTCTAACATCTCACTTTTCTTTCCTCTCTCACTAATAAGAAATACTTACTACCATGATTTTAAAAATCTTCAGTACTTGCTCAATTTATATTTGTATAATGGACATTATAACTGTTTTAAAATTTATCTACAGCATCACAGTAAACTCGAAACAACCTCGGAACCCATCAGCAGAACAGTGGCCTTTCCAGCTAAGGAGATACTCAGAAGCCAACAAAAGAGTGTGCATTCGTCTACACAAATTTCCCAGCTTACCAAAAAAAGAGTAAGCTGTAAAAATACATGTATCTGCAACCTGCTAAGGACGGTCCCCCTTCCCGCGGGCACATTGCCAGGGAGACACGCACTAGGGCGTGAGCGTCAAACCAGAGGCAGAACGGGGTGGAGTACTGATCTCTACTTTCTGCTTTGTGCAACTTCCCTGCACCAGTATCGGGGAAGGAAGTGCTGAACACACACCGAGCGCCACACACTCCTAGGCGCTCAGGAGAAGAGTGAGCAGGACAGCTCCCTGCCCCAGGAGCGTGCGGGCAAGGACGCCATCACCACAGAGGGAGAAGAGGTAGACCACACTTCCCAGCAGCCTTGCCCGCAGCTCGGAGAGTTCAGAGTAGACCCGGGCAGCAGGACGGCTGCTCCTGCCCATCCTCAGGTGTGGGCACGGCCACCTCAAGAGCCTTCCTGAGAACCCCAACCCTGGGCAGGCCACTTCCTTCCCAGCACCGCCCTAGGCTGCCCGTGGGGCTCTCCAGCTGTCTCTCCCGTGTGATGGGCGCTCCCAAGGGCAGGGGGTGTCTGGCCCCCTCGCACCTGGCATGCTGGCTAGCCCCCTCGCACGGTGGCCTCTCCCTGTCCTCTCATGACCTCATCCAACCCTATTCACCCCCTGAAAGGCCCCCCTCACACACTATCTTCAGCACAGGAACTTGGGGGGGACACAAAGATCGAGGCCAAGGCAGACGTGGAGCCCGCATTTCTAGGGGGAGAGACAAATACCTAAGTACCCGACAGACACAGGCTGCAACTTCAGATGGTGACGATGAATCCACGGAGCACAATGGGAGTGTGGGGGAGGCCAAGAGAGTGACCTGGAGGCCAAAAGTGTCAGGGGCTCGTCAGAACTAAGGATGGAAACACCTGCAGTATTCTCTCCCGCTCTCTGCATCTTTACGGTGAGCAAAGGTTACAGAAAAAGCAAAGATTAATCCACGGTTTCTAAAACATGAAGGTTGTATTCAGTTCTGTGTTTAAAGAGGCAGTGACCCAGTGCCCCTGGGCCTCAAGGTCCCTCCTCCCTGAGCACTGGCCCTTGCTGTGGGCGAGACCCACTCCCTCTCTGCTCATAGCAGCTCCTGAGCTGCGGTCGGCGGGCTGATCACCTCACTGAGCCAGTCAGCCTGAAATGTGTCAGGGGACCTCCATTAAATTCTTACTGATAAGAATCATCACTGAAATTTCTTCTTTCTGAAGAGACTTGTGCTTATAAACCAGGAAAAGCTGCACCTCCATCCAGTGCATCATCATGCACAATCCCTTCTCTCCGCAAAGGCTCCAGACTCCGGGAAGGACACCAGGGGTTCTGGAAACAGAGCCTGAGGAAAACAGCAGGCCACCTGCCCCTCTGGGTCCCAGGTTCCGGAAACAGCCCGACATGGCTCGTGTGCAGCGAGGAGGCTGAGAAAGGGGGAAACACCTGTGGTCTGCGGTTTTCCAGGGGTCAGAGTTCACAGAGAGCAGAGCTGCCCAGCTCTGAACTCACGCGCAGGCCACTGGTAGCCTGGCTGCTGCCACACGCCCCAGGACCACGTCATCAGTAGAAGGGCAAAGCTTGCAAGTGTGCACTGAAATTCAGCCTGGGGCTGTCAGGCAGGGTCTCTCACTGAGGACGGCACCCCGCACGCCCCCAGCGCAGGGCCACTTACTTGCCCCTCCAAGCTCCAAGACATGCACCTAACAGAGATCTCAAACTCTGTGTCCACCTCTGAAAAGCACACAAACGGGAGCTGTAGCTTCACATGGCAGCCGCCCCAGCCCAAAGGACACAGGCCCAGGGAGCCCAGAGAGCAGGACGGGGGCACTGCAGGCAGAGGGGCCCCGGAGCCCATCCAGCCCCCCAGAGCCCTGCCTTCACCCACTCGGCTGGCTTCCTGCCCGGAGCTGACCCTGGCCAACAGCTCTGCCAGGACTGCAGCTGGGCCGGGGGGTCCTGGGCAGGACAGAACGCTAGAGGAGGAAGGGCTGAGGGCCTCCCGACAGGCTTCCACCTGCCCATCCCGGAAGAGGCTCCTTCCAGAGCTTCCCTCATGTCCTGGGGACCTGCCTTCGGACCCTGCCGAGAACCAAGCAGACGACTGGCAGACAATACGTGTGGGACAGGGAGGGAGGACACACCAGGAGGACACACCTCGCTGGACACAAGGGATGAGAAGGTCTGCCCGAGGCTCCTCCCTCCGGGGGCCTGCTGTCTCCTCCAGAGTCGGAGCAGGATCAGCCACCTGCCACTGCACTCTGAGCCTCCAGTGGATGGGTCACATGGCCACCCTCGACACCTGGCGTGGACAGCGGGAGCCTGGAGCGGCCCACTGGCCCGTTTTCATAGGCCTGTGCTCAGGCCACCCTAGCCCAGGGCCCGGACGTTGCCCAGAGCAGGCAGGACACAGCCCATGCCCAGGCGGGCCCGCTGCTGTGAGCCCCTCCAGCCCTCGGACCTCAGCCTGCCGGACGCAGAGGCCAGGAGGAAGGGAGGCCCAGGGCCAGCCCCAATATTTCCTGCTGCGTCCTATTCCCAAAACACCCCCACTGGCTCAGCAGAGCTGCAGGAGGGCAGGGGACAGTCCCCGCTCCTCCCCCACCGCCCCACCTGCGCCATCCTCCTCCCAGCTGCCCTCCGGGTTGTGGGCCCCTCACCTCCTGGCAGGTCCAGTCACCCACTGCCCCCGCCACGCTGGATGCCAGGCCACTGGGCTCCTCCCACCCACAAGGTCTCCCCACGCATCCCCTGCCTCAGCGCGGCCTCTCCAACGCCCTACCTAGGGGTCCCCGACACACGAGTCACGTGCTCAGCCCTCCTGCGTCGGTCATGCTCGCTGTCCTGCAAACACCTGAGCTGCCCTTGGCTGAGCTCATGCTCCAGAGCACAGCTGTCTGTCCACTGCTCCGAATCCAGTCCCCAGCATCCGGCACAGAATCACCCACAGACCAGGGGCTCCACCAATACCTGCTCAACACCCAGTGCTGGAACTGGCCCCTCATCCTGCCAACACGTCCCCCTCGAGCCTATGACCCAGGTCCACCTCGCCCCAGCCGAGTCTCCATGCTTCCCGCCAGACCCCACAGTGGCCCCTCCGCGTGGCTTTGCCGTCTTTATGCTGCAACCCCAGGGCCCTCCTGAAAGGCACCCTCCTGGCCCCAGAAGCTTTCAGTGGGCTCCCCCTCCAGTAATGCAGAGACCCCTGCCCCGGGCCTCGGAGTCCTGGCCAGAGGAGGGGGACCCGAACAGGGGCTTCTGAGGAGGAACGTGACGCCCACCACAGCCAGCCCCGCGACAGTGCGAGCCCACACGATTCGGACAAAACACGGTTTCCACAAAAATGAAGTACTCACGGCATAAATACTTCATCTGAGAGAACGTGCTGTCACCAGCACTTCTTACCTGATAAAATTCCCGAAGCCAGTTCTTCTGTAGGTTTTCTGGCTATAAATTAAGAAGAAAAAAAGACAGTCAGACCACTGGCCAGTCCCAAAGAGCCGCAGCAGAAGCTAACGGTCCTCGTCAAGACCTGCTGCAGGCCTCACGCTGGGCCCACGGGGGGACCCCCCCAGCAGGGAACCCAGCTCCGCGGGGCAGGCGGTCCCAGAGACAAACCGCTCCAGGCAACAGGCAGCGCCCAGTGTCCACACCCAGCCCCTCGCCCTGCTCTGTCCCCACAGGGGCCGCGGGGAGGGACCACCCACCGCCAGGCCGGGGTCAGCCACAGGACGGCCCGACTGGTGCTGGCTGAGGGGAGCCTCTGTCCCCGAGGGGCAGGGCTCCATGCGGCCCTCGGGCTGGCTTCCAGGACGAGGCGGGGAGCCGCGGGCCAGGGGGTGGGCTTCGAGCCCCCGGTGCTCTGGGGAAAGAGCTGCGCAGAAGGCACCGTCTCCTGTCTGCAGGCGTCCCTGCTGGGGGCCGCGGACAACCAGCCACCGGCCGAGAGGGCGGGTGCCCACCCCGCCCAACCACGGACAAGGCACTGAGAGGAAGTGCGGGCAACACTAGGCAGGAAGGCACTCGATGCTCCGTCTGCAGGACGGCGGCGCTCGGGAGACCTGGCGCGGGACGACGCAGACACACCACCGCAGAACGGCACGCTCGCGACCGCGACGATGACGCGCTCTCACACCTCGAAACACAGAACCAGCCCAGCCCAGAGGTCTCTGCCCTGAGCCCAGAGGCACCCCACGACCCAGAGTCGCAGCACCCGTGGCCGGCTGCCTCTGCCAGCGTCCCGAAACACAAAGTCACGAAGGGAGGGGCCCGGCTGCGGAAGGACAGCCTGCTGGCCTCTGGAGGGGGTCACCGAGGATCGCCCGACACAGGTGGGGCCCAGGGTCAGGCAGGTGTGGGGCCTGCTCGCCACCAGGACCAAGCTCAGGGGGCCGGCCCAGGGCCAGCACCCCCCCACTCCCCCAGCAAGCCCCTCAGACCCCACCATCTTCCCTGCAGAGGAGCGAGGAGGAAGCTGCCCCCAAAGGATAAAAACTGGGCGGGCTTGGGCAGAATAAGCAAGGAGCACACGGAAAGGCGTAGTGCATCGTCCGCCGGCGGGGACAGACGCCACGGCACACCCACCGGGACTGCTGAAATCCAAAGGGATGATGGTGGTGCGGGGCGGATGTGGAGGAACGGGAGCCCACCGACGCTGCAGAGACGTCCGGTGGCTCCCGAAAGTGCAGAGCAGTGTGCACGTGATCACATCAACACGCGCACAGAATGAGGCACCAGCACTCTCGGGAGGCGCTGGTCATGGTCGCCAAAAGGTGGAAATGGCACAAATACCCACCCGTGGACAAATGGACGAACAAAGCGTCGTCCATCCACACGAAGGATGATCACTGGACCCTAAGAGGGAACAAAGCCCTGACACCTGCTACAACACGGGAGAGCCTCAAAAACACCACGCTCCGTGAAAGCAGCCAGACGCAAAAGGGAAATGACACGTGAGTCCACGTTCAGGACGGTCCACGCAGACCGAAAGCAGAGTGCTTTCCTTGGGGGCGACGGGCTACAGTGGTGGCCGCACGCTCCCCCACGGGGAGCGCCGTGCCTCAGCCAGGAGAGGAGCAGCGCCGGCCCACGGCGGCCAAAGGAAGAGGACTTCCTGTGCCAGGGCCCGGAAGAGGCACCCAGGAAGCAGCAGCCCCTGCCCGAGCCCAGCCCAGTCCTGGCGCGCACAAAAGAGCCGAGGGCAGAGCTGTCCCCTCTGGGGAGGATGCAGAGGGCACACCAGGGTGACAGCCACCTTTCACAGCCTTGAGACAAAGGAGAAGACCCAGCCGCACGACTCCCGGGCCAGGACGCAGCTCCCGCCACTGCTCATGAGGGCCTGCCCGGGGGGGAGGAGAGAACGCCAACGCTACCTTTTTCTTCATCTCTAGCACGCTTATAATCACCGTACCTTACTTTCATATTTTTAAACTTAGTTTTAAAAGCTTAAACCAGAGACAAACAATGAAAGTGCTCAAGACGCAGTGACAACACTTTAAATAACCACTGGCCACTATACGCAACGGTAAGAGGGAATGACAAACAGGGAAAACTATTCATGGATTGTATGAAAGCTGCAGGAAAAGCTGCTACAAATAAGCCAGAAAAAGAGCAACAATTCAAATGTGCCCCCACTGTGTGCACACGCACACACACGTGTGGACACACGCACACGCACCTGCTCGGGAGCCCCGAGGCCCCAAGGCTGCACAGTGCAGATTACAGAACGTGTCCACTGACACAGGGATCAGCACTGTTGAACAGACCCCTCTGTGAGGACAGAAACGTGCTATATTCGCACCAGCCAAATTTGTACTTGAAATGCGGCTGGTGTGACTAAAGAGCTGAATTTCTTTTTTTTTTTTTTTAAAGATTTTATTTATTTATTTGAGAGAGAGAGAATGAGAGACAGAGAGCACGAGAGGGAAGAGGGCAGAGGGAGAAGCAGACTCCCCGCCGAGCAGGGAGCCCGATGCAGGACTCGATCCCGGGGCTCCAGGATCATGGCCTGAGCCGAAGGCAGTCGCTCAACCGACTGAGCCACCCAGGCGCCCTAAAGAGCTGAATTTCTAATATTACTTAATTTTAAGCAGTCACATAGAGTTGGTGACCACATTACTGGGCAGCAGCTCCACAGAAAAAGAAGGGAAGCTTAAGGTCCCTGTAATGAAGTAAACGTAATGTTGAGAACAAACACGGTGAAGACGGCACACACAGAAGGGGGAAACGTCCACCTATCCCACTTACGGCCATCGATACAAATACCCAGAATTAAAGAATACAGCAGCACATCAAGGATTCACGCGCCACAACCGGGTGGACTATTCCACGAATGCACGGAGGGTTCGACATCAGGACAGCCGCTGATGGAACTGGCAGTCCTGGTTATGGTTACAGATAACTGGAAAGGTCCGTCAGGACTCCAATTACAGCTCGAATCGCAAAGGCGTGTGAGTCCCACTCCTGTCCTCACGCTGACTTCTCTCGGGCCTGCCAGAGAGCTGGAGGGCTGGCAAACCGCCACCCAAGTCCAGAGAGACAGGAGAACACGAGACTTGCGGCCCAGACCTGCTCTCCTGGAGGAGAAGACGCTGGAGCCAAACCCCAGTGGGAAGACACCAACGGTCACTTGACAAACTGCTGTAAGCTGAGTGCAGACAAGTGTGATGAGAAGCTCCTCAGGACCACAGTTTCAAGGAGGGTCCCGCGTCTGGGTAGGTTTTTACCTGCAGGTGTCTTAGCAGGTACTCACTGTCTAGATCAGAGAAGGATCCCTGGAGAAAAGACCCTCTCCTGGCTCTGGCAGGGGGACGGGAGGAGCAGCCACGGGGAAACACACCCAGGGCGCTCTCCACACCAAAAGGCCACCTTGCTGGGGAAGAGACTTTAGCAGCACCTCAGCCCACCCCTGGGAAGGGTGCTTTCCCCCAAGCTGCCTGCCTATCGCATGGAAGGGACAGACAAGGGGGAGCCCCGTGTGGGGGGCACGGTACAGGGACACAGGCCAACGGTCCGGGGCTTAGGCACAGACTGTGGAGCATTCCCTTCCCCCACACCAACAGGGCCCTGGTGCAGGGACAGCAGATTCCAGCCCCATAGGGCACGACACAGACCACCCAGAGGAGTCCTTAGGGAACCCCAAAGATGAACATGAGGACCCCAATACCATGGCCACAGTACACAGTGAACATGGCCCAGAACCTCACCAGATTAACAGAAGGCCTCCCACAACCTCAGCTCCTATGACCCAACTCTTCGAGTCCAGCTTTCAGCAAGAAATTATAAGGCAGACTAAGAGACAAAGGGAAAATAACAGTGTAAAGACAAAATGCACTGGAATCAGACCCGGTTATGACCCAGATTCTGGAACTGTCAGAAAGGGAATTATTCAGAGTAGACTACGGGCTCTGATGGAAATCGTGGAGAGCACAAAGGGACAGATGAGTCCCACAAGCAGTGCGATGGAAACTCTAAGACAGAATCCAAAGGAAATACTAACCTCAAAACCACTGTGACAAAAATGAAGAAAGCCACTGATGGGTTCGTTAACACACTGGGCACGGAACAACCAGCGAGCCTGAAGACACATCAACAGAAACTTCCAAAGCAAAAATGCCAAGAGAAGAACATCCAGGAACCGAGAGACAATCTCCCGTTAATGAGGGCTTCGCAAGAAGACAGAAGAGAGTGGGAAACACTTGTGAGGCACTAACAGCTGAGAAGTTTTCAAAATTAATGACAAACCCAAACCACAGATACAGGAAGCTGGGAAAACACTCAGTGGCATAAATCCCAGAAAACCTACTTGCGGGCACACAGTATTCAACCTGCGAACGTCCACAACAAAGAGCGTCTGCGATGAAGGAAGAGACAGGCGCGCACCTAATCCACAAGGAACAGGGACAGGAGTTCTGGCACCTCTGGACAGCCATGCAGCAAGAAGAGAGTCACGGGAGATGAGCAGGAAGACCCCCAACCCGGGATTCCGCATCCAGCAAAATTATCTCCCCAAAGTTAAGAAGAAATAAAGATGCTCTCAGACAAACAAAACTGAGGAAATTCATCACCAGAAGACCTGCCCTAAAAGTAATGTTTTAAAAAGTTCTTCAGGGGCGCCTGGGTGGTTCAGTTGGTCAAGCGACTGCCTTTGGCTCAGGTCGTGATCCTGGGGTCCCGGGATCGTGTCCCGCATCGGGCTCCCTGCTCAGTGGGAGCCTCCCTGTTCTCATGCGCTCTCTCTCTCATTCTTTCTCTCCCAAATAAATAAAACCTAAAAAAAAAAAAAGTTCTTCAGGGAGAAGGAAAATTATATCGGTAAAAACTGCAGATCTGCACAAAGAAACACGGAGAAGTAGTAAACCAAGTTCTCCCATGAAAATCTGCAAAACCATTAATGACCCAGTTTTAATGAACCAGGAAGTGGCTATCAATTCCCGGGGCGTCTGCAC